AAGTTGTTGAAATAAATTTCGTCAATTAGAAAATTATTATAAATGTGCATAAATTCTATTTGTCCATTTGTACATGTTCGCAAAAGAAAAATGCGAATGAGTGTACCTTATTTGAATTGCCTTGTATCCAAGCAACACATCCTTCCCCCCTACATTATGTGGATCGAGTTTCAAGTATACACTGCACTTTAAGGCAACTGGACTTTATTTGGATGCACCGTACGGTACTCTTAGCCATCTTAGTGGAGGCCTCATATATTATCTTCGATAACAGGTATAGACGTGACGTGTTTTTTTTGCGACGACCATCTTGATTATTTATCGATACCATGATGCACTTCGCGAAACCACAGGGATCCCGGTTTTGTGACCGTAAAGGTGTACAGTAGACGTGTTTCTAGTGTCTGATACAAAATAGGACTCGATAGTTTTCCATATGTTTTTCTTTTCTTCTACAGTGTAAAATTTTCAATGCCAGGAGCTTTCCAACATCGTAAAGGTAATCTTGGGAGAGCCGCTAGTTCTGAGATAATTGTCTCTAGGCATCACGTCAATCCTCCCGTGTTTTTGAGAAAACGGTACGTAAGTTTAGTTGTTTTAGAAAATTTGAAGTAAGCTTAAATTTGCAAAAAATTCTGACCACGCCACTTGATGTTTTTGACCACAAAGTAACTTTTCAATTTAAATACTAAATGACAGTTATGCTAAGAAAAAGAAACACAAAAATAAAAATATAATAAAAGAAAAATTAAAATAGAAAAGGCTCGAAAGAAAGGCTCGAAAAATAGGCTCGAGGCTCGAAGAAAGAGGCTCCGGCTCGCAGGCTCGCATATTAGTTGCTCTCTAATTTGACATCAAATGAAAAAATAGTTTTCTCGTTGTTTTGACTTTATTTTACGTGTTTTGACATTAAAAATGGATGGAAATTTAGACAATATACCACCAGACTGGGCTGACGATGAGTTTGACTTGCGGCTCGCACAGCAAGTCGACGAATACGAAAAAAATTCGTTACTGTAAACAACGAAGACCTGGACAAAATATTGGGAGATTCCCACTCGAGCGCTACCAAAAGACATACAAAGTTATTTGAAGGTAAAGAACACAAACACTCTTCTTAGAAGAAAGTTTAATTCATAATTTTACAAAACTTTAACTGTATCAAATAAAATTAACGTTTTAGAGTGGCGTCAAGAGTGTTGTTCAACAATGCCTCCACTGTTAGAGATGTCTGACAATGAACTGGATGTTGCCCTTTCGAAATTTTACATCGAGGCCCGGACGACAAAAAGCGAGGAAAATAGCCGGTCTGCCCTTCTTGGGYTTAGAAACTCCATTGAACGACATCTAAACAGCAATGGCAGACCTGTAAAGATAAGGAAAACGCCTCGTTTCAAAAAAGTAACAAGATGCTCGATGCTAAACTGCGAATGAATCGCCGGGAAGGGAAAGAAAACACAAACCAGTAATTGAGCCCACTGACCTGAAAAAGATCCAAGAAAGCAACTTCATGAGCATGGACAACCCGAAAGGACTGCTGAGAAAAGTGTGGTTTTGTGTATCTCTGTACTGGTGTCGAAGAGGTCGAGGAGAAGGCCAACGTGAGTTAAACTGCCAGAGCTTCGCTCTACACGAAGACGGCAACGACCTCGAATATGCTGTGATGACTCACGAAGTGCAGAAAAACAACCAAGGTGGCGAGAATTCCAAACCATCATCTAAAAAAGACACCAGACTCTACAATACCGGGAGTGAATCGGCTGCACTTGATTGTCTGAAGAAGTACTTGTCCAAACTAAGCCCTAGCTGCAAAGCTTTCTTTCAGAGACCTAAGCCAAATGTCACCTTTGACGACCAAGTATTGTACGAAAACAAGCCCATCAGTGTAAATACACTCAACAAGGTGATGAAAGACATATCCATTGGTTTTTCGTTACCCAAAGTATACACGAATCATAGTGTCCGAGCCACAGTCATCACAATTTGGTCAGACGCTGACATCCCTGACCGCCATATTACCTTCTTGTCGGGTCACTGAGCAACGAGCAAAGTTTAGCGCACTGCAACCAAACACCATCTGCTCCACAACTGAGACGATTCTCTGACACAATGTCATCTGCTCTTGGTTGCTCTAATACTGTGGATATCTACAGGCTAAATGTGATCGATGAACAAAGAAATCCACCACTACCACTCCAGCAGGTTACGACAAGTACGGCCGTTTATAGTTCAAGCCAGAGGGCAACGATGAATGCATTTCCTGGCGGCTTATTCAATTCCTGCAGCTTTGGGAACACTCAAATTTACATTTTTAGTTCAAAAGATGAACATTAATTTTAATGTAATCGTAGCTTATTTTAAGGAATGGTTTAAGTCTTCTTTCAGAAGTTTAGCAGAGATAGAATTCATGATCATTGATCATCTTCGTAAATATTTACTTTGCATTGCGTGACAAACTAACGACATATTAGCCAATCAGAAGAGAACATTGTCTATTTTCAACCAAGCGTCGATTTGTATAGATCATGTATGACGCAATAAGCACAAATTTTTATTTTGTGTGAAATCAGGTTTTTCTCTCGTTTTTACCCTGCGAGAATGCGTCTCGTGCGTACTTTTTTGTTCTCACTACATTTTGACGTCATCTGTGTATCTAATGAGATATATTTGTTCTAAAAATATTTCATCACTTAGACTCCTTCCCAACCCTAAACTTTGAATTAAAAAAACATAAATTGTGCATCAGAGTTTATTCTTATTATATACTAATTATTCAGTAGTTCAAGTCAAAACGAAAATTATGGCTTGACGGATAAAACTGAAATAAAAAAATGCATTTTTGGATTGGTTCTCTAACAACATAATCATGCTCTTTGTAACAGAATCCCTGCGAGACAAAACCGTGTCAAAATGGCGGCGAGTGCAGCATTCGAGACGACAGAGAAGGCTATCAATGCAAGTGTAGGACCGGATTCATAGGAAAGAATTGTGGTGGTACGTCATGATAAGACTTATTACAAATACATCTTTGCGTCTTGCACAAGTTATTTGGAGTACCTTTGATTGCAATATCCCACGCATATTTGCAATGCTAACGCATACTGCAATACCAACCTGTGCTCGTACACCTGCCAATGTAAAAACACGCTACAATCTTGCACATAAATACTTGACAATTTTTCGCTTGGCAACTACAAATACTGTATCGCGTGAATCTATCTATGGGTACGTTTTTAGTGAAAGTTTTGCAAGTTTACATATTCATTCTACTAATTGATTTTACTAATCGACTATTACGCATGCGCAGCCAAGAAGTGCGATGGCCTCATACCAGTTGGAATGGAGAGCGGAAAGATTCCCGACTCAAGCATGACAGCCTCTTCATTTTCCGATAGTATCTGTGAAGAAACTAAATGCTATCCATGTAAGTTGTATTACATTCCTTTATTATGCTTGGCCCTCATCACTTATAGCAATAATAAAACTATAGAGCATATCCAAGAGGGGGGAGGTCTTTACATGCAAAATCTCATTATAATGTCATATAAATGACACTATAGTATTATTACAAAAAGAAAAATTCAATGTTGAGGAATATTGTCCTTTTGTCTATGCTTATCCAAGAATACGTTTATTGTCTAAACGTTTTATTGATAAAGGGGGAGATATTATAAAAGATTATAAATTATTCAAGCTTTGTCCTACTCTCGCCTTACTCTCTCCTCGCTGATCAAGCATTGAGAACCCTTGACAGTGACATGATACAATATGATATAAAGTCACCAAACAAAAACTACGAAACAAAAAAACAATGTATATATAAAACAATTATTGCATTTTTTTGTTTGTTTGTTTGTTTGTTTGATATAATGAATAATAATGAATATCTCGGCACGTGAAGTTCTCCTTGACCTTCGGTCTCTGCTAATTACACTAGCCTTAACCTTGACTATACATATCTTAATTATGTCAATTATCAAATTCATTAATAATTCATAAGGTTAACACATGAATGGAAAATTATTGCCGTGACTGCATCTTTACAGTGCAAGAGATTTGTCCTAATTTGCATACGACTTCTACCTACCTCGATTTTCTATTTTAAAAGATATTTTTTCCTGAATTTTTTTTTTAAAACATGCTTTAGCTTATGTTAGAATTTGATAAACAATATAAAATATTCAAGTCCGACCTTTATGTATAGTTTAAAACACGATCTCGAGTGTTTTAAACGGCTTCAAAAACTCCAACACTAATTTGGAACTCAATTCCGTTAAATTTCTTGGAGAAATTGACGTACAAATATGTTCTGAGATAAATAGGGCAAACTGATCATGCGCGAATCACTTAACAAAGCACTCTCTTCAGCCCACATTGAATACGCATAAAGTAAAATAGAACCGCTCTTGGCTGTTCACTGAAATCGGTTGACATCCTTTAAATAAAGAATACTAATAAGGAGTGTTTTATCAGATATAAAGGTCCATTCATGTGACCAAATAGCCTCATTCTATTGGCCTGGTAGCTCATTAATTATGTATGAGATTTTGAAGGGCTTTAAAAATGCTCGCTTGTAGAAAGCTAGAGAAACCCGTGGTTCAGGTAAAAATGATCATGGACTTTTATAGCCGCTAATCCAGTGATCATAGTTACTAACTTTGCACTTGCGTTATATTTTGTTTTTAAGATAAAGGAAGAATCAACAGTGACGCTGCCTGGGCTCCATACGATTATAACGTCGGTGAATATCTGCAGGTCGACCTTGGTAATACTACCACGATGACTGGCATTGCCACCCAAGGTTWTATGSTTGGGCMATKGCAAGTATATGTCACAAGCTATAAAGTACAATATGACACCAAAGTTATTACCCCAGCATCTCCCTTTGCTGAAGCAGGCAAGAAGTTTACGGGCAACAGTGATAATAACAGTATTGTGAAGCACACTTTCAATCCATCTTTTGTTGCCAGATTTGTCAGGGTTCTCCCGCAAACATGGAATGGTAAGATGGCACTCAGAATAGAACTGTACGCCGGCTGCTAAGTAAACCGTTGTTCAATGGTCAGTTCCTGTTTCAAACTGGTCGATGTCTTGCATTTGTTTTTTGTTTTTTTTCCGCACAATAATAAGTTATTGTCTGTACTTTTCGTTAGGTTTTTGTTGCTTTTTTAATATTTTATAGTTGTTTTTAACTTTCATCTTACCTAAAAATTACTAATTATTTGCTTTTAATATTAATAATGACCACATTCAGTAGATTATATGAACGATTGCACAATTTCAAACAATAAAATGATGTACTCACATTTTGTTATTGCTTTAGATTATTTGGAAGTTTGTGTAATGGATATATTACATGGTCACTGCCATCTAGGAGTTATGTCTCGTATACATTCTCCTTACCTTCCTTGATAATCATTGAATACTGAATAATGAAAATCAACTAGATGCAAAAAATCAAAATATATTATTATACTGAAAGAAGTAACCGAAATCTCGCGATAATTTGATGGCAGTACCTGTCTGTTTGCTTGCATAATACTCAATCAATCGAGCAATCCAACCAATCTACTACTAATCAATCTTAACAGTGTAGAGCTTCTTTCACATCCAACAGTAGATCATTTGCATGTGGTGTCATAGCCTTTATCTACGTGATAGAAGAAAACATTGTTGTTCTCTTGAGAACTAGAATTCCTTGTTTGTTTCCAAGAGGAAATGCAGGCCAATGAACTGTCAGGGTTAATATGTAGTTCCCATCGTGAAAAAAGTTCAAACAAAGATGAAGAAAGGTTAAGTGAATAGGTTCAAAAGGAAAAAATGAAATCATTCCGAATTTTTAGTTTACTAGATGAATAGCTGTCATGTTTGGAGTGTTTGTCATCATCGTAATTTAATTGATTAAGTGTTTTTATAGTCCTTGCTTAGAACTTATTGCCTTAAATTTCGCTTGTCATAGATTCAACCAATCATATACTTTGCCTATTGTATTAGAGATAGCTTGTTATAAGATACCCGGGCGTCGCCCCGGCCTTAGTTTTGTTGCTTTCGGAGTTTAGTTGGAGTTAGAAGTCATCGGAGTAAACACTAGTTCTTTGGAGTTCATACAAGTYTARYAGAATAYTTCAAGTTTTYTSARCTATTACACCGGAACAAACGTAAGTTACGTCCTTTATTCTACTCAAGTAATTCAAATAATTAATCGTTAGTTTTCTTATATAGTTTTCACCGAATTGTACGAATTGTTTCATTGTTTGTGAGAGAGGTCAGAGTGGAGCGGAGTTCTGAATAATACCCATTCAATGGTACAACGCCTACGATTCTGGTTGGCACTTAGCGTCCCCTAGTACCTGCGACTTACCGGCGACGCGACAATAGCCACAAGCAAGAAAAGTCGTCAAAAAGTATCGATTACTGACTTTCATTTCCAAAAAGACACACCTACCTGAAAATGTACAGCTTTTCCAACTCTAAGAATAACAGTCGAAAAATCAAATATATGCTTTGTTTTCATTCCAACTCTATTTCACTGTATTGCATAGTAAAACTTAATTTTTGTCCGCACGATGTTTGTAAGTAAATCTTTATTTGGTTTGTCTGAACGTTTCCCACTGTTTTCGCAGACCATATTGCTCTTGAACTACTTTCGCTTCATTATCTATAAAGTAAATTATGTTTTCTATAATATTCAATGATTGTTCGTCCGCAAAAGGTGTAAATTTCTTGTAATGCAAACTTAAGTTCGCCTCCATCGAATAAATTTTCTTTTCTTGTTCGCTCTTGAAGTAGTATCAACAAGGACCAATCAGGTGCCGTCTAATATATGTGCATTGTGATTGGTTATCCAAAAATAGATTATCGGGACATTCGATGGTGACGAGATTACTAGAGAGATGGACACTTCTGGTTATGTACTTCTGCTAAGCATAACATCCCACATGGATCAGAAAACATTAATTTCCTAGTAAAATTTATATGTATTATACAGGACACTAAAATGTCATAACTAAACTGTTATGAACTTTGCAAAACCATCTGTTCTCTAGGCATTAACTGTTTTCAAATAACCATTTACCTTCAGCGTAGCTAATTGTTACTTATATTTGTTTATGTTCGGATAATATTGCGATATCAGGGTTCGTCATTAGTTCGGCTTCGATTCATTACCAAACACACACAACTCAATACACAGGAAAGCTGCAAAACTGTTACATAGCATATTCCATATTGAAGGTAAGACAGTAGAATGCAAGTTATCTGGAAAATTATTCATTTATAGACACCGGCATTTTATGCTTTTTTCGAATGTTATTGTGTGTTTTTTTTTTTTTTTTTTTTTTTTTTTTTTTTTGTTTTTTTTTTTTTTCATTATAAACAATTTGTGAAAATGTTGATAGCAGAAGTTGGGCAGAGGTAAAGACTGGGGGGAGGAAGATATGTCGATGACTTCCCAGCAATTGGTGGCCTAAATAAAATATTCCTGCCAATTTTTTCATAACTACGACGAGTCGGAACATCCGGGAAATCGATTTTCGAAGATGAAAAGCAATTTACTTTTTCTTGAAACGTTTTGAGGCTCAGTTTTTATGAATAACAGGATGACTTTTCGCTTTGACATTTCGACAACAAGAAACAGATGATGCTACATTGAAAATACTGCAAAAATATGGGGAAAAGCAACACTGTGTGAATTTTGTTTGAAAAGAAGTGTAGGGATTTTGCTGAAACCAAGACCATCACCAGAACTTTGATTGAGAGAGGTCGTGGGTTCAACCCTGGCCGGACCAATACTTGGGGTCTTAAAATAATTGAGTAGAAGTGGCTGCCTTTGTTTCTCCATCTGCAAATGGTTAGATCTCCACGTCCTCTCGGATAACGATGTTAAATAGGAGGTCCCGTCTCTCTACACTTCTCATTAGTGGTAGAGGGACGTTAAAGAACCCACACCACTATTCGACTAAGAGTAGGGCACGGAGTTCCCGGTGGTGTGGCCAGGGCTCATCTCGCCAGCATTGAGGTCGGTTTGACTTAGTGTTCGTATAAAGGTTACTAGTCAATGAGACCTCATAGTAATACAGCTAGTAACCCAATGAATGTTGCTGGAACTATGTAGATGTAGACGTAGACCAATCAGGTGCTGTCAGTGTTATATGAGTGCGTCGTGATTGGTTGTCTAAAAATAGATAGGGACATCTGATGGTGACGAGATTTCTAGCGAGATGGATACTTCTGGTTATATACTTCTGCTAAACATAACATCCCACATGGATGAAAAGACATTAATTTCCTAATATATATTATACATGCCACGCAAATTTCATAATTAAACTGCTATGAACTTTGCAAAAGCAACTGTTCTCTATGCATTAACTGTTTTTGAATATGTCATGAACCATTTACCTGCAGAATAACTAGTTCCAACTCAATTGATTAAATATTTAGTAGTTATGCTCGAATAATAACGGGATATCCGGGTTCATCATTAGTTCATGTTTATGTAATGTATACAGAACGAGAGAGCGTGTTGTCCCGGGTGATAAAGATCCGAGCCGAAGGCGACGATCTTCAGCCCCGATACAACACGCTCTCGAGTTCTGTATACGGCTTATAAAACTTTATAATAATTCTCATTTTAATGATTTTTAAAAATTGAATATCATGCTGCATTTCATCGATTAAAATTATCAACTTATGTCGCCGTTATTAAATATTCCGGCGTCAAATATAATTGTTTTTATGGCGCCTTCATGAAACGACTGAACTATAAAGGGAATTTCTAAATGATTAATTGAAAGTGGAATTGTCACATTAGAAGCTTTTTATACTTTTTCCTGAAAATTGTTTATTTTCCTATTATTTTTTTTTAAAGAATGTGCTTGCCAAAATATAGAAAATTAGAATTGTCAAAGGAATTGCAAGATATTAGGCATTCATAGTTAGCAAAAATYAAATCRGYTGKMTTYCATTTCTCCCTCGAAGACATGTCGAGTCGATTTAGGAGACCTAAAACTAAACATAAAAGAAAGCGCTATTGTTCGAGGGAGTGTTCCACAATGTATTAAACAAAATGGTCCGCAACCTTATTTTGCGACCGGCAAAAAGACCGTGCGAAAAAGAAAGCCATAAATGGGAGCACCAGTTTCAGTTTCAAAAACAGCGATTCATTCCAGGATATGCTGACGCTCCTCTTGATGACATGAACGCCGAGTCGCTGATTTTTTGGATGGTCAAATTCATACTAGACGAGGTGCCAAGAAAAACAGAGAAGCTTATCCGAAGATCGAGTAAATCGCGAGGAAACGAAACGGCATTGCTACAATATTGATTTTTCAGTGTGTTTTAATTATAGGCCAAAAACCAAGTGCGAGGTCTGTCATTGAAATTCAAGTTCAATTCAATTCTTGAATCTCAATGGCAGACCGAGCACGTGGTTTTTAAGTTGTTTACTGATGTACCACACCCATTTTCTATTATTTTCAAGAGGTTTTGGACTTCTTTCAACTGGTATATCCATGAAATAATCTTAAAATGAGCGTAGATATCACTGATACAGAACTAATGTTTTATTAATTAGTTCTGTATCAGGAAAACGTTGAATGATAATCAGCCCCGCACTCCCCTGAAAATATTCAAAGCCGCCCCCAACTTTGAGCTTGCTGCACCTTTTATCCAATATAAAGGTATAATCACGTGATTAGATTCTCAGTATATCATTGGCTAATGACATTATGAATTATAAATGAGTTTGATAATACCAAGTACAGCAAAGCTACAAACTGTTACAGCGTATATTCCGTATTGAAGGTAAGCCTGTAGAATGCAATTAATCTGGTTAATTATTATTCATTTTTAGACACAGGCATTTTACGTTTTGTTTTTTTTTTTCATACTAAACTATTTCTGAAAATGTTGATAGAGAAAGTTGAACACATACAGAGAGTGGGGTAAAAAAGACATGTCGACGACTTTGCACGAATTTGTGGAAACTAGGAACATAAATCTAGAGTTTAAATGTATTTAAAAAGTATAAAAATGATGGGTAAAAAATGCGGTGTGTTTGATGCCAAAATCTTCAGAATGTGCTTTTTATTCTTATCTTTAATTTTATTAAGAAAGTTTTATAAATATGGCAGAGAAATCGGTTCTCGTATATTAAAAGGTTATTTTTGTAATTGAGTCACATTTGCTCTGTTGCTAGACGTAAGTTTGTTTCGGTGAAATGTTTGCGAAGCGAAAAAATGGTTGCAGCTTGCGAATTCTTATATCGCCTGTCTACGATCCCTCCATACAAATAACTGAGCTGCACTTTATGTTCCTTCATTTAAGTTTTCTTTCATAAACTTCTTCAAGCGATCGAGAGATGAATTTTCAATGGTTTTATAGGAATGACGCCTTGTAAAAGTCAATAAGTGGTAATCACAATTATATCCGAGACGAGTTTTTAAATTCTTTGATAAAAAACTAGCGAGCAAACGAACAAAGGAATAAAATTCGTTTTACATTCGAAAATCTTCGGATCTACAACAATTCAATTAAAGAATTGCCTCAAGCACTGGACATGGGGTTTGATATCAATGTTTGGCAGAATAGCTTGATGCGAGGCCGGTGAAATTTAAATGCTGCATTTAAATGCTGTCAAATTAATTTTTTTTTTTTGCTAACGTCAATCCTTTTAGAATTATCAAACGAGAAAAAGAGCTGAACTTGATAATTGTTGTCAGGAATTATTGTTATTCTGTCATTTTCAATGGACAAATAAATACCCGCAAGGACTGTCATATACATTATATAACTCTGTCAAGACTAAAAAGCAATGTTATTAGCAAATGTAACTCATCATTTACTATTTTCTTTTTTATGCTGCGTGCACCTGTTTTTTTACATTTTTCAAAGTTCAATTACCTTCAGTACAATTTCATCTTGTGACAGTTCTATTTAACATAATTCGTCAAATATTTCTTATTTCTCTTATGTGGATGATGACTGTAACATGCTATTAGCGTCTGCACCTGTTCAGCTTTAGGTCGTAACAACTCTTTGTTAYTTATATACCAAAAAGATAAAAACTCGCATCATTTCCGATATTTAAGTAATTAAGCGTCTGCACCTGTTCAGCTTTAGGTCGTAACAAGTCTTTGTTATTTATATACCAAAATGATAAAAACTCGCATCATTTCCGATATTTAAGTAATTAAGCACGTAATAATGAGCACAAAAATACACTTTTGCCATGAATACATGGACCGCATGTCACTATGAGATACATAAAATGTTGGAAATAATAAGTTATCATCCTGTCTAGGCCGACGAAGGCCTGCGGCACGATTATAAAATGCAGCGACTTTGTTTCTGTTACTTTTTTTTCACGTCGCAGTTTAGCAATCCCAAGGGRCACTATTAAAAGATTCCAAGGATCCAAGGCTCGATCCTCGACTCGACCACGTCTGAAAAATTCTTTTTTTTTTCTTTATTTCTTTCTCTGTCTCTTTCTCTCTCCCTMTCTTTCTCCCTTTCTCTCTTTTATTAACTGTTTACTAGTCATGTTAGATTTTTGTTGTAGCAATTTGTTTTATATGAGCCGTTTGTTCAATTTTAGAAACAAGATGATACTCGAACAGCGGCATCGAACAGAGGATCGCGTGTTCGAATCTAGTATTTAGCACTTTTCTCTTCTTTCCGTTTTAACTGAATTCTACAATCGCTGACAAAATCCTTGGACCATTCCAGCGAATTTCCTTATTTTAAGCAAAACCCGCAGACAATTTCATCCCCCCTTACCATAGCACGCAAGCATCCAAAACAAGACCCAACATTGATGAAAGGGGGCTAAGGGGGAAACTGTGAAAAAATAAAGGAGAAAAATGTTAGGCTGGAGACTAAATAATTCTATGGTCCAAGGTATTTTGGCAGCGATTGTAGGTTTTATAGCCATGTTGATTTTTTTATGTAGATGTTTGTTAATTATTATTTATACAGAATAGCTTCGAGGGTTCCATTCTCGACTCGATCGCTTCTGAACATTTTTTTTTTTCTTTCTTTCTTTTTTTACTGAAATATACTTATTTTAGTCATGTTTTTTTTCACTGTAGATATTTGATTTATATATTTTTTTAAATCAAGATTATACTTGTAGAGACAACGTTGAACTGACGATCGCGGGTTCGATTCTCGACTCAAGCAGCTTCTAAACAATTCTTTTTTCTTTCTTTCTTTCCTTTTTTTCTGTAAAATATACTTGTTATTTTTCTCTTTCTGAAACGCAAAGCGACCTTTCATCTTATAAATTCTCTGAGAATAACGCGAATGCAATTCGAATGCTAAATTTTCGCTGCAATGATAAAAATATTCAAAAGAAATGATGTGAAAATATATACGCAGAATCTATCAAATAAAACACGGCGCTGTAATAATATATTCCACATAAGATTCTATACACTTTAAGCCGCGGCCACACGAGCCATTCTTTGCTTGCGCAGACGACGCGATTTTCTCAAAATCACCAGCGCTTTCAAACCATGAGCGACAAATATACAAGGGCCGCGTGACTTGGAAAACTGGGTCATAGTAAACACCTTCGCAACTTATTGCTTAAATGTACTTTCGTCGTGTCGCGAGTGCAAGGAAAAAGTTACAGAGTCGCTACACGAGTGACGACGTCCACAAAGTTGTTGCGAAAAGTTCAACTCATTTTATTTCTCGCAACTTTTTTCTGTGTTTTTTTTCAGGTGTTGCTTCGCCTGCGCAAGGCTACACGTGCGATTAAATCGCGCGCTGGAGATTTTGAGAAAAATCGCGTCGCCTGCGAAGGCGAAAAATCACTCGTGTAGCCGGTACTTTACGTAAATCTGGACACGGTGTGTTCCACGAAGTGGATCTTGTTGTGTTTAGAAAGAGTTCCTCCAGGGAAAAGGACCCTTGGAAATATATTCGGAAAAATTAATTTCCGACCTCGCTGGAACTTGAACCCACGACCACCGATGCTCCCAGTTGAGCTACAAGGTCAGACTGGGAGYAGGTCGGGGTCAATTTATTTATATCTTCACATTTCAAATACCACAACCTAACATCTATTTCACCTCGACCTGATTCCAGGCTGACCTTGCAGCAGAACCGGTAGATCATCGGTTATTCATTTCTGAGTATTGTGGGTCCGAATCCCGGCGAGATCATAAATCAATTTTTCCGAATTTATTTCAAAAGTTTTTTCGCCCTGAATAACCTCCTCCTTGTAATCACTGCAGCTTTCCGTTATTTATGTCATGATAAACGTTTTGCTGTTTTTCTATATAGGCAAGATGATTGACTTCATACTGGTCATATTCTTGATGATGAAATCAAGTTTTGTCATTCCATCGGATATTGCAAATGAAGATCAGCGATCCTCACTTATCATCACAACCGATGACCACAAGCTTGTTGGCCAAACCATCCACAAAAGGAAAGCTACTGATGTCTTTGATTGTGCTCTCTGCCTGATTGGTGACCAGTCATTTAACTTCAATGAAGCAACTGGAGACTGTTATTTGAACGGAAGAAGGGCAAAAGATAAGGAACTTGTGAAAGAGTATGGTTACATCTATGGAGAGAAGGTTAGTAAGATTTGTAGTCCTTTAAACGTGCTATAGGAGGCTATATTAACAACAATAATTGACAGCAAATCTTTCATCAACCAAAGTATCTATCAAGGTAAACCCCAGTAAGAGTTTAGACAAAATTTGGGAATTTCATAGGATTGGATTCATTTGCCAAGGAAAGTTTATTTAGCCAATCACACAATTCGACCTATAAGAAAAATCTCCTGCTCTTTTTTACATTAATACACTGGTCTCTAGTTTAGCACCCTGGCATTTCTATGGATTAAAACATGGATTGTTTTGCAGATTCTCGGATAACAATTTCAAACAATCAACAAAAGATCTTCTGTTACTTTCTGAAAAGTCTGTAAAAATTGACCTTTTATCTCGGATTGAAAAAAGTGGTTGCGCTGAAACAAATAGGAATAGAATGTCATTATTTTAAAATTTGGATCAAGCCATTAATTATACAGCAGAGTTAATTCTTATCATATACTAATTAATCAATACTTCGATCAAATCAAAACAAAAATTATGGCTTGAAGGCTGAAAATCTAATTTAAGAAAAGCATTTTTCCTAACAACATACATCATGCTCTTTGCAACAGAATCCCTGCGAGAAAAAACCATGTCAAAATGGAGGCGAGTGTATCATTCGAGACGACAGACAAGATTACCAATGCAAGTGTAGGACTGGATTCATAGGAAAGAATTGTGGTGGTATGTTATGATATTGTTTATGATAAATAAAGAAATCCATGCACCTAAACTGAATTTTATCATCTTGAATAAATTATTTGAAAAACTGAAAAGAATAGCTTTCTTATCAAAAGTGYTTTATGTCTGCATTTCCTTATGCTCGTTACCTTTGCAGATTTTATTTGATGAATGCAATGATTTCACGCATAATTGCAATGCTAGCGAGCCCTGCAATGCAGTTTAAATCAGTCTACCTTTAGTGCTGTTTAATAACAAATATTTTTTAAAGGAATAATTTTCTAAATTCGAAATGTGTGACATGCCAGCAATTTTCCGGTGACACGATATCGGAGCTCCATAGCTAGGAAAAAATTGTCTATCCATCGAGTCCACGTTTACGTCCGTACACCACCACAGGAAACCCATACTTCGCGCGAAAAGAAAAAAAAGCATTTGTTGAAACATCTAAAAAAAATTCCTCAAACATTTTTCTTACAAATTGACAATATAAGAAATATTAATCACAAGCAGAAAATACGGTGGAGAACTAAATCAAAGCACAGAAATATTCCTGCCAATTTTTGTCATAATAGGCGCGTATGCACATCCGGGAATTCGATTTGCGTAGGGTTTTCAGGTCCACTTTTCGTAATAAGAAAAAAGGAAAACCGGATGACGTTTTTGCTTTGATATCTCGACAACAAGAAAAAGCTGATGCTGTATTGGAAATACTGCAATAATATTGGGAAAAGGAAAAGCAACAATCTCTGTGAACTTCTTTTGTCGAGAAGTGTGGACATTTTGAAACCCAGAACATGCCAGCAGCACTGGATTGATGAGAGATTAAAAACAAAGATTCTTGTTCACTAAGGTCCGGATAACGGTTCGTTTCCACAGAGCGTTCGGCATTGAGATTGAAATTTGGGAAATTAAGGTTATTTTCATTATTTTCCGCCATTTTTATTGCGCCAAAAAAAAAACAAGCAAAAATACAAACAAAATGTTTTTCACTTGTGATGGCGTGAGCGTGCTCCATCCATTTTTTGTTCATAGATGAAGGACCAATGAGATTGCTTGTTATATAGTATCTATGTTATAAAATCATTTTCTTCTAAATTGCTATTTGAGCTCCGCTATTAGGTGTCACCTAATTTTTTATATTATGTGTATACGCGTTCGAAAAAATATTGCACAAAGCATATTGTGGGTACGCAGCACAAGTTTTTGTAAATTTACATATTTACTCGACTAATTGCTTTTCTTAAATCGATTATTACGCATGCGCAGCCAAGAAGTGCGATGGCCTCATRCCAGTTGGAATGGAAAGCGGAAAGATTTCTGACTCAAGCATTACCGTCTCTTCTTATTCATCATTTCTTTGTGATCCCATTGCATGCCATCCACGTAAGTTTTTTGACATTCCCTACAATGCTTAGTTCTCAATTACACATGTAGTAGTAGTAGTCACTGCTCCCCTTCAAGAGTATTCGACGAAACCGCTCCACAAAATAAACGCTCCGCATCCTTTTTTTGACTGCCTGGCAAATTGAATTTTCATGTTCCTGGCTGGGAGATTTTAGACTTTAAGTCCACTGCTGGATGTGAATTTCAATTGGTACATGCGATTTGCTGGGATCTATTTTGCTGGAGAGTGTATTTTAACACTCTCCTCTTTTCATCGAAGGAGTTTTCAAATTATCAAGCTTAAATATTTAGCGTCTCTTATTGTAGACACGAGTAATTGTAATTTGCTTTTCTTTCAATTGTAAGTAAGAGTATTAATGTTAATTCCAGCGTGCTTAAGTCATTTAGTATATAAGTAGTTCGTTCGTAAAGGATGGACATTACGAGGTCACAATGCCGTGGAGACAGGAAATTGCATACTTACCTGTAAATCGAAGTCTAGCTCAACAACGACTGAAACTGCTAAAGAAAAGATTTCTGGCAGACAACGAACTGTTCTTGAAGTACAAAGGAACAATGAATGACTACATTGATAAAGGGCACGTGAGAAGAGTTCCATAGAAAGAAGTTGAAGTAAAGGCGAAACCTCTATGGTATCTTCCACACCAACCGGCTTTCAAAACGAACAAGCCACACAAGAACAGAGTCGTATTTGATTGCTCGGCGAAGTAACGAAAGATATCACTGAACGACCAACTCCTAAGTAGTCCAGATCTCACAAATAGCATTGTTGGTGTACTTACAAGTGTCACGATCCGGCCCACTCACCTTATCTCAAAGGCCGGCCCTTCACGCCTTCCCCAAAGAATAACATATTCATTCATTTAAACATTTATTACGAACTAACATTCAGCTTCCCGAAGTAATGATGAACGATACCTAAGATGACTTAGGTAAAGAACTATATATAAAGAACTATTTGAAATATAGATATCAAGATATAAAGGGGATATTTTACAATACATATAATATTTATTGTCCTGGCGGCTTCGTTTCGAGGACTCGTTCTCTTGTCTGTTATAATTGTGAATTTGTATCTGTTAGACAAAGACTCGTTCTTTTGTATCTGTTATTGTGGACTTTCATCTGTTAGACGAAGACTCGTTCTTTTGTATAGCTGTTATCTGTTAGAAGAAGACTCGTTCTTTGTATCTGTTATTTTGGACTTCTATCTGTTAGACGAAGACTCGTTCTTTGTATCTCTCGTTTCTGTTAATTGAGGACTCTGAAGGTCTGCTCTCGCTGCTTTACATTAGCTGACGAGGACTCTGAAGGTCTGATCTCACGCACTGCTTAATAAAACTGACTGTGCTCGAAAGCGACTCTCTCTCTCTTAATGTGTGTTCGATATGCCGCTTGCCGCTTGCCTCTCTTTCATATCTCTGAATAAATTACATTTTCACGGGCATCTATGTATCGGGCGTAATTTAAGTTAAGTAAACTCCATTAACTATATACATAAATAAATCACGGTCCATGAATATATCCTATAATTACGTATTACGTTACAACAAGATTCCGTCAAGAAGACATCGAATGCATGTTCCATCAAGCTAAAGAAAATCCTGCCGATTATGACGCATTCCGGTTTCTACGATGGCCTGATGATGATCTACATCTATGATGATGAATTACATCTATTTGGCGCCACGTCTTCACCAAGCTGCTCTAGTTATGCGCTGCAAAGAACTGCTCATGCCAATAGACAAGCGAGGAAGCTAAAAGTTTAGTAAAAGATGGGGAGCTTTGGACTGACCAAGAAATGACTCAGACGTGATAGAATCCATTCCTGAGGGTGAAAAATCGGCGAAAGTACTTGATCTCGACATGGGCAAGGAAAGACTTCCCGTTGAGAGGACATTGGGTCTAAAATGGGACATGCACGCAGACAAGTTCATCTTTGATGTAATGCCTAAGGAGAAGCCAGCTACGCTGAGAGGAATCCTGTCTGTCACAAGCTCAATATACGACCCTCTAGGATTTCTAGCACCAGTGATTCTTTCTGCTAAGAGGATAATTCAAGACTTATGCAGAAAGCAACTCGACTGGGATGATGAGATCGATGACCAGGACGTGCATAGTTGGAATAAACGGAGAGAGCAGTTACCACAACTTTCGCAGTTGTCCATAGAACGGTGTCTCGAGCCAGTACATTCAAGTGGAATGAAGCGCGCAGAACTGCACAACTTTGCTGACGCATCCCAGTACATGGAGCAATTTCATATCTGAGAGTCATTGACAACACTGGCAGTACTCACGTATCATTCCTTATGGGCAAGTCACGTCTTGCCCATTTAAAGCCCCCAACAGTACCACGTCTTAAATTGTCTGCAACTGCGTTGGCCACCGAGATGGACAAGGCTCTTCGAAAGGAACTCGAAATACCCATAGATGAATTGATGATTTTGGACTGATTCAACATCAGTACATCAGAAACACAACAACAAGATTTCATACGTTTTTTGCCAACCGTCTTACAATTATCCATGACTACACCGAATCGTATCAATGGAGATATGTCCCAACCAACTTAAACCCAGCGGATGATGCAAGTAGAGGTATTGCAGTGAAGGATCTATGCCATAGCCACTGGTTGCATGGCCCAGATTTGTTAGCAGAAGACAAGGCTCTCTGGCCTGCAGAGCCTCATGCGCTGACATCGAACTGCTTAAACAAAGATCCTGAAGTGAAAGCTCATCCAGCTCAATGCATGAGTATTCGAGTTACAGATGATGACGCCATCGTAAAGCTGATGGAAATATATTTGCTATTGGATAGGCTCTGACCTTTCAGTGCGTTTGTGTACAGTAACTCCATATTTTCTGAATTAGGATTGCTGCCTTGCTTCGCTTCATTGGTTCCGAAGATACAGAAGGTGCAGCCGGATGAGCAGCTCCCTCCTCACCCAGTCACAGATTGTCAAGTCATTAAGTAAAAATTGACATTTTGCCGACGTTAACCACTAATTTTTATAGTACTGCATGATTTTATACATAATAATGGGGAGTTGGTTATCGTACACACTTCATTTCTAATATTAACTATTATATATCCTCCATGTTTTGTATTTCAACACTTGCAGGTCTCAACGTTCTTGCACACTGGAGTCTCAACGGATCAGAGACAGGGTTAACGTAAGTCAAAACCAGAGAAGAAGGAGTTGACGTTGGGGAAGACTGGGGGTGGGTCACAACATGGAAAAGGGTTAATACGGCGTCGTAGTAGTAATCTTTTGTAAGGTGCTTGTTGATCAAAGTCAATAACGCTTCACTATTGCCTTTGCTTTGAACTGAGTCAGGTGTAATTTTTTTAGCTTTTGAAGGGAGAAACTACGTTAGAACCCGGGAGATATACCCCAGAAAACTATTGAATCAAAATATACATTTAGCCTAATATTTTTAAAAGAAATATATTTTTCGGTCGCGAGGCTCGGTCTCATAACCGAACAAGTTCTACCCATTCGTCTTCAAATGTTTCATCGTCTTCTTGCAAGAGTAAGGATTGTGTATTATAAAAGATTAATTACTGAACACTGAATACTGTATTGTCGATTACAAGACCACAGTGCAGTTGCTTTAAAAATGCATATGTGCAAGATTGCTTCCTGATATTGAAGCTCTTGACTGTAAGTAGTCGATGTAGTCATTTTATAACCACACAAACTCTTCTTAATGTCGATAAAACGAATGATAATATTAAGAAACCATTCAGCGCTATAATATGGAAGCACTATCAGTACTTTTGGAAAGTTTCGAAGCTATAGACTAAATACTGACAAAGTTATGGAGGAATAAAAACACAAGGATTCGTATAGATTTCTTTGACGAGACCATGCATGGTAGCCTCATTTCGGTGTTTTGTGCTTGTTCTTACCCTTATAATGTGAAGAGAAATTAATGTTTTTCAGTGAAACTTGTAGAACTTATTTTTAGCTTTGATATCTATCATCTGAATATATTCGTGTGTCAACGTTGTGAAAACTAGTTTTTATGGATGGGACGGAATCGAAAAAATAAATCCAAAATTAAGTGTATCAAATTATTTTGTCCGAGCGGGATCTGGCGCGAACTTGTGACGTCATCCCAGGCCAAAAGTTTGACCGCAAAAGACTAAATGCCTTACAATCTTTTTTCTCACAAAAATCAATTAAACCGCTGAGATTGAATGTATCAAACCGTTTTTTATTCCATGAGAATTGTCAAGCGCTTGCCGTGAGCTCAGTAGATTTGAATTTCAGCAAATTCCTTGTCCTCCAGGATACGAAACAGTCATTTTAGGCACTTTTTTACCTCGTGAAAAACTATGTGCACGGCAGTCAAAATTTCTCGACAAATGAAATAACCACGATCACAGACATGAAAATATTYTTTCTTCCGGAGGTCTCAAATCGGGGAAACCAAATCGACTTTCTTACTATGTTTGCAAGCTTACCAAAAATTCGCTTTCTTATAAAAATGAAAAATTCGTTCATAGATCTGCTTCCATTAACCTCAATTTTTATTATAAAGGTTAAAAAAAATCCTGAAGGTGCACTTTAGCGATTCTGATATGTTAATTAGTGTCCGAAATTATGAAAGCCGTTAGTGCACAGCGCAGTTCTTCGAATACACTATCTTCAGTATCAACGTTTTCAGGAAATAGCTGTACACAACAATTTCAGAAAATGTTGTATATTTAACACTGTGATACTACTCGTGCATTCATTCGCCATGCACGGTTACTATTTTATTTTTTTGAGTTTTAAAACTCAATTTAGCTCATTAGAAAATGACCAGTATTAAACATTTTCTGAAATACTTGTATATGATGTTTACTCAATCAGGTTGCATGGAAGTCCGACATTTGTCGAAGGTCGTTTACCAGACACTAAAGCTATAGCCTTTACAAAGACGAACAGCTATGCAAGAATTCCAAGTGTCAGTCTTCAATACAGAAATTTCACCATCGCAGTATGGATTAAAGTGTACAGTATTCTTTCAAGGCCACAACATTTTGTCAGTGATTGGTACAGTCCCGGTTATAATTTCTATTTTGGGATACTGGGGAATAACGGGTACCTCATYTTCTCTCGCTATACACAGAATAATCTTTGGCCTTCAGTCGAAACCAGTTTTTCTGTCACACCAAAAAACTGGCAGCACGTTGCGGTGACATGGAACAGCACAAATTTGGAATACAAGCTCTACWTAAACGGAACGGAAGTGTATGCAGAAATATTTTCGTCGGATAAGACACGTTGGCGGTCTGAAAGATCAACATTCGAACTTGGAGACAGTRAWCATWCTKYTGAAAGTCAGTTCCTTGGTGAATTAATGGATCTTTACATCATTGATGGTACAATGAACACAGAACAAATCAATTTTATTAAAGGTAAGCTCTAGTGGCCCATTAAGCCCGTCACACACAATATGTGYACAAAGGAAATGCCACGTGAGGCGCTTTGATCAGCGTTTTTCTYACTGTGAACAGCAAAAATTGGTRCGCACACGCTGCTCAAACCGACTCGCGTAGCATTTCCCTTACGTACTTTCCTTTCGTGTGCGTCGGGCTTGAGTCAGTGGTGTGAAAAGATGATATCTTTACCTCTTTCTCTTCTTCAGACCACGCGCGTGGTGTAATTAAATTGAATTTTGTTCTTTTTTTTTCGGGTTTTCGGGTTTTTTTCATTCAAAAGAATACTGAGCTACACTCTTGGAATATTATCAATTCCTTTATTGTGTAACGAATATGATCGTTTCAGTGTAAATAATAATCCAAGCGATTGTCAATATTGATTGCCCAAAAAAAATTCGGCCTTCAAAGGGAATCGAGCCCATGACCTCTGSGATGCCGGTGCAGTGCTCTACCAACTGAGCTATGAAGCCAACTATATTGGCGAGCGTTCATTTTATTTATTGGGTGTACCCATCCATACTAAGGAACGTATGTGTGATGAAGTAATGGCTCGAACAATGGATTTTCAGCTTAACATGGCACACAAATATCCGGTTCTATGCCACACCTGAGCTAGCTGCTGTTAAGGTGGTTCACAATAATGAAACGCGAATTTTGTACTTTATTAACTCGCWCGCTTCGCAAAAGTATTTAGTCAAACGTGCTAAAATTTAAATATAAAATGCAGTAATTATTGTAGTTTTTGTCAGTTGTCAGTATTTGGTAATTGATTGGCTGGTTTTAGAGATACAGSGCATTYGCAAACAGTGATAATTTCAGTTTTCGACGATTTGCTCTAAAACTAACAGTCGGATCATCTTGAAATTTTCAGAATTTGTACATCTCATCAAACTGCATTARGACTTTGAATGTAATTKGAAAAGCTCGGGCAGAAATRAAGATGTSAACGCGGCTCATAAATGARCGCAAAATATGACCTGCATAAAWTAAACAGMCGCATATTAATAAATATACAACCGATTGCCATTGATCTTGTGATATGTTGTACATGYATTTGCTAACATCAGTGTGTAAAAWGYTCAGTTCTATAACTTTCAAATTAAAAGAATTACAGTATTTTTACTGGATATRAATAGCTGCTAAAATTGTACGGGTAGTATTTATAGTCTGGCATTGTTGGGGRCGTGATCACCGATACAAGCTTTTGATACAAGTTGATACAAGCTTTGGTATGCAATGACTTTGATATGTAAAATTTCCCATGAAAACTGAAAATGTGTTTTAATTGATTCTAGGCAAAGCGGAAGAAAATAAAGGCATGGCTGGGTCACGAGCTCTTGTTTCAGGTAGTAAATTAATAATTGAGAACGAATCATTAATTTTTATGCTTTTATAAAATTTTTGATATATACGCGCGCTCTGATTGGCTGACGACCGTGTTTATATCAGAGGACAGAGACAGGGCTTACCGGCAAAATTCTCTTGTGTCTCTGTCCTCTGATATAAACACGGTGGGAGATGAAAAACACTCGAGAAGCAAGAGAAACACTCGCTATGCTCGTGTTCCTAAGCTTGCTTCTCTCGTGTTTTTCGAACTCGCTACGCTCGTGTTCCTAAGCTTGCTTCTCTCGTGTTTTTCGAACTCCCACCGTGTTTATATCAGAGGACAGAGACACGCGCGCCGTTTTATATGTCTTAAATAAAATCTTCTATAGCCGATCTTGAAATGGTTGAGAAAGCATTTTKAAAAAGGAATRATTTTCTAAATTCGAAATGTGTGAGTTGCCAACAATTTCCTGTGACATGATATCTGTTTACGCTTTCAAAAAAAAATTGGTACCGAAGCATATTATGGGTACGCAGAAACCCATAGCATTCGCCTCAAGCACACTGAATGATGCAGAGAAATTRTACCGTCAGCTGCAAAAGGAAGCACTATCCATTGTGTTGGCTGTACTATCAACCATTTTCATACTTACAAGTGAATTTCAGCAACAGCATATAGCACGTGTTCAACGCTGGGTTCTATTTCTTAGTGGATTCTCTTACCACATAGAGTATATGCACCAAAGAAGATAAAAATCGAAAAGATCCAGCAGACATGTTCACTTTAGTCAAATTGCCAGACTTCCCGTCACAGTGTTAAATCAAGCAGCCAATGGCAGCATAACTCGAAGATTGATACAGAACGATACATGTACGATGAATCAAATCATAATTACTTCACAATTAGAATTTTAAGTAAACGATTTATCCTATTATTTTAACTTCGGTTGTGGATAAGCACGGCGAGTGACGGCGAAATAAATGCCAGTCTTAGCCACACTTATATGAAGTTTGCCATCGTGGCTCAGTAGTTAAAACATAGGCACACTGATCAAGAGTTCCCGGTTCGATTCCCAAGAGATTTCACATACTTTTTTTTCTTTTTTTTTTTTTGTTCTATTATTTTTTTTATTATTAATTACTTTTTCCATCAATTCCTTTAGGAATGCTTACTCCGTAACGGCGAATTAAACAACTGGAAGTTGGTTCAATTGAAACCCCGACTAACTATACGGCACCATTGTTTTTATTGCTTGCCAGTTTCCGTAGCGGCTCTAATAGTATTATCGATGTCTAACCACACAATGAACTATATATCAAATATTACAATGTAATAGTACGGTAGCGAGCGAATACATTTTTTGAATTGTAGACGAACGTGGATAAATAAAACACACGTAAAATGATTTTCGAGACGAATTTAATCGTCGGATCGGCGTCAGTCTTCCTCATGCTTCCTTTGTATTGTGATTGAACAATACAACAATCAAATTAGATTTACTTTACAAATAGAATTTTAAGTAAACGATATTTGAATGCACATTTTTTCATTAAAATCTTATTAATTTAACTTCGATTCTAAACAAGCAGGGGCGAGCGCCTGTCAGTTAAAACACAAGTCTAGCCGATGTTGTGTAACATTAGCACGCGTGGCCTAATCGGTAGTGCCGTTGATTTCCCTCCGATCCAGCGGGCCCAGATTGAAGTCCCAGATGGACCCATATTTCTTTGATTTCTTTATTTGCCAAAAAATAAATCAGATGTAGCACAGGGAAACCAGTAGAGAATCAAAATGCAAATATACAGAAGTTACTATAGTAACCAAAAATTAACCGGAAGTTTACAGAAAACGTAACAGGAAGTTTACAGGAAAGTGAGCGAGTGACAGCCTGTCCCCTCCCAACAACTCTACGATTGCTTACGCAATCTCCGAGTTAAAAATTACGTAAAGAGACAAGGAAMAATCCACTACTTGCACAAGTGGTGCAAGCTGCCGGCAATTCTGTAATGTCTTGATGACCTASAAAACAGCAGCTATGTCCAGATCTCCTACCTTATTTTCAAAAATTATGCAACATGATCCTTTGACAATAAATATT